ATATATTTATGTAATCTTATATATTAAATGGGTGCAAAAGTTTTGTCAGTTTTTTCAATCCATCGGCATACACGCTAGAATGAAGATAAACAGACACTTTAAAATGTATCCGGTGCAGAATTTCTTCCTCTTTCCAGCAGCCAAACACCCATTGTGTTTCGTTGAGAGAGTGATGAGATATTTTCTGGAAATTATAACCACTCGTTTTTACCATGTTTAACTAATTTCCAAAGTTTTTGTATCAGGCTTCCAGAAAAGTCCTAATGACCAGCAGATAGGGCAAGCCTTTTGCCAACTTACGCAATTTTTTCCTTTTTTTCAGCTGCTTTTCAGATTTTTGCTAAATAATTTTCGAAAGTCTTGTGTTTTGAAGAAAATCGCATAAGCTGTTATTGCACCAAACACTGCAAAACTCACAAAATACTGAGGTGTCAACACTCGATTATTACTACCGCTACCATTACAAAGTAGATAAGCGATTTTCGCTTTGGATTATGAAGATTTGGAAACATAGGGTATGACAGTGCGTACCCGTAAAATAGAGAAATACTGCACTTTTCCTCCAAATTTCTCGTGTCTCGCCAAGAAAAGGTAACTGTTAGAGAGAGAAGAAAAAGTTGCATTGTATGTTACTTGAAATGTTTACCATTTCATGTTCTACGAGGTCAAAATAGGCTGAATGTAAAATTTGCTCACTTCAAAAAATAAATCGTAGGAATTCTGGAAGACAAGCCGTAGGGCTACAAAAATTGCCTCTGTTGGCAGAAGGTTTGCCCTATCTGCTGGTTATTAGTGCTCCTCCGAAAGTCTCATACAAAAATCTTGAAAATTAACGAAAGTTTGACATGGTAAAAACAAGTGGTTGTAATTTCCAGCAAATATCTCATCACTCTCTCAACGAAACACAATGGGAGTTTGGAAGCTGGAAAGAGGAAGAAATTCTGCATCGGATACATTTTAAAGTGTCTGTTTATCTTCATTCTAGCGTGTATGCCGATGGATTGAAGAAACTGACAAAACTTTTGCACCCACCTACATAATATAAAGCTGAATGTCTGTTTGTCTGTCTGTCTGTATGTCTGTATGTCTGTATGTATGTTCCAGAGAAAATTCCATTTCTGAACCGTTCCGGACCAAACTTGGCACACATACACTTCGGCCCCCGGCGGGTGTCATAGGCTACTTTTCGTCATCGATCGATATCGTTTATCGATTTTTTGCAAAATTTGAGCTACGGGGCTGGGAGTTGGTACAGGGGGGTAATCGAGCATGCTGATTACGAATGAAATAATAATGACAGGGCCGGGCGGAGCCGGGTAAGCCATCTAGTACACTTTTAAGAACTCGCACAAACAGGGACCGCGAGCAGCCGAAGGCCATCACTCGCCATGAACACATCCACTCCTCGGCACTTCTAGAAGCTTCTTGACGAATTTCGATTTCAAGAGCTTTAACTAAACGGTCTTCTCTAAAATCAACAATTGTGACCCAACGGCCCTCTTTAGGGCCACAGATACGATGAAAACAGCAGCACAAATATTCTAGACAAATGTATTAATCAAATGGTGTATTTGGAAGTGAAACTCAGCGAGACTTTACAAATTTGATCAAGCAAATTTTGTTATAACGTACTGCAAGAAAGTAGGTCTATCCAAGAAGTAACTGCCGAGAACCACGACTTCGAATGATAAAATAGCGAAAAAACATGCAAAGTTTCCACTGTTATAAATCTGGTGTTTGATGATGTTAGCAACTGCGACTGCAGGTTCTGAAAAGTAAGTGTTCTTCTGTCAGACAGCGAAAAAATCAGGTCTTTGAGAAGTGGTCGCCGAGAGACAGAATTTCAAAAAATTAGGACTTCAGATTGTTGGCTGACATTCGAACTCAATTCTTGAATATGAAGATGTTTGATGTTGCGACTTCGTAGGCCTTGTAGAGTAGGGTTTCTTCTACTAGGATGTATCTTAACCGTACCAATCCATTTGAACAGCGCCGAGATCCAGGCTCTTGAAAAAGCATATAAAAAAACGCTTTTGAAGTTTAACGGCTCATAACTTCTTCAGAAGTGCATGAGTCCAACTTCAAAAAATAGATTCTCCTCTTCAAGAGCTTTCAGATGATTTATGATATGTGAGGGTTCAGCACCTACTAAGGGCCGCATGCACTAACATCCCTGCGGCGAGGGGAGCGGTGTCCCCAATGATTAAAAAGCCGCAGCGGCGTCCGCACGCGGTCCCTTTATAACGGGGGACGCCGCTCCCCTCGCCGCAGAAATGTTAGTGCATACGGGCCTAAGACTTATGCCATGGGGGGGAGGAGGGGGAGACTTTTCATCACTGATTCTCCCCTGGCGGCCTCCATCCAGTACAAGTGGGCTGGGGAATAATTAGTGATGAAAAGTCCTCCCCCCCCCCCCCGGCATAAGCCGAAGAAGGCTTAGGCTTTTAAGAAGGCAAACCTTACTCTACGAAACCTATGAAGTCGCAACATCGCACACCTTCACACTCCAGATTTATATGAGTTCAAATGTCAGCTGTCACTAAGCAACCTGTAATCGCGTAATTTTTTTGAATTCTCGTACTCGGCGGCGACTGCTCAAGTCGACCTGTCTCCACTATTTGGTAGAACAACATTTATTCTTCAAAACCTATGAAGGCGCAGTTGCTGACATCTTCAACCACCAGATTTATAATCCATCATTCGAAATTCTGGTATCGTCGACTACTGCCTGGATCGACCTATTTTCTTCGCAGTACGTTATAACAAAATTTGCTTACTAAAATACGTAAAGTCTGAGTTTCACTTACAAATACACCATCTGTTCAAAACGTTTACTTCATAAATTTATGCCGCTGTACTCATCGTATTTGTGGCTCTAAAGAGGGCCGTTGGGTCACAGTTGTTGGCCCTAAAGACGACCGCTGGTAGAGCTCTTCAATTATCCAAGGTCATCATGAGGCCTTGCCCTCCAAAATTGTAGGGAGTGTTGGCGTAGATGCGTCCATGCCGGTGATGGCCTTCGGGTGCATGCAGTAGGCAACCGCCACCTGGAGTAAATTGAGTAGATAAAAGCTTACATATATTGACCGTTACATCTGTTTTCTTGTTTCTCCTCTTTATTAGTCAGTGAAGAAGTGTTTGAAGAAGAAAATTTTTTGTGATAAGAGACGTCGAGCCTGTGCTCCCCCCTTCCCTCCTCCCCGGTCGACGTTTTTAGACAGTGAGTTCCTGCACTATCACCTTCACTTCTGGCGGCCAGTGAGACCCCTTCACTTATGGTGTATCCGGCTCCTCCCATCGCACCTCTGATTATCAGTCCGTATATTTCGCGGTTCTTCTAAAAAACCGTGCCCAAATTGCTGTAGTAGAACGAAAAATTTTGACTAGTTTTGAATCCAATTTCCAGGTCAGAATTCATCTTGAATAAGTGGAATGCCCTCTTCAGTTCATTTCCTTTTTTTGGATGATATTCAAAGCTATATCATTCTATTTGACCTTCCGTAAGTTCTTGGAACGGTTCAGTATTTTCAAACATGTACTCAAAATGAAGTGGGTCGGGGAACAAGGCCGCCAGTTTGAGCCGTTTTTTGCGGCCAACTGGTCCTTTTACTGTATTGTTGCATGTCGTTACAGGACCAGTAGGCCGAGGCGGCCCAGACTGGCGGCTTTCGTTCCCCTACCCCAAAATGGACGAAAGGGTAATGAAAATCGAATCCAAATATTCTTTCAATGAAGATGGATTTTCTTTGTGTTTCATCAGCAGAACTTTCGAAAAATTTCTCAATTTCCTTACTCCAAAAAGTACTGAAACAAAATGAAATGGTTATGAAGCAGTAGTATCAATTGAAATTAAAGCGGTTTTTCTCATTCGTTCAAGCTATAGCTAGAATCCTCTTACAGATAACAAGCCCAATGTATCAAAGGATACGGTCCATTTATCCGCTGAGTAATCTTGAGTACCAACATTCCCGCACCTCTAATCACTATGTCTCAGTAGAAATTCAATGGTGTTCATTCATTCGAATGATTCTTTTTCAACGTTTTTGGAATAAAATTTTGCGAAATCTTGTCAGACCCATGTGCTTCTCTCCATCAAAGAGAGACAAACAAAAGGTGCGATTTTTTCAAGTGCGCACTAAAAAGTTCAGTTCTAAGCCGTTGAAGTTCACAAATAGTACCTGAATTACCTTATTAACTGCTGGCTGGCAAATCCGGCTCCGCTCGACCCTGTTAATGATTTGTAAAAAAAGTGCTCAACTTACTCGCTGTGCTCCCGAGTAAGTGAAACTTTGCAAAAACTAATAAACTAATAAAAGGTATCGATCAGTGAAGAAAATAGCCTACGACACCTGCCTTGCCACGAAGTATATGTGTGCCAAGTTTGGTCCGGATCGGTTCAGGGATAAGCTTTCTTAGTTATTCTTTGAATGTCTAGGACGACTGGCCCCAAGCTAACAGTTTTTCATAGTTCAAATGGTACACCTTGAGTGTAAAGATAAAGATAAAGATAAAGATAAACATAAAGATTAAAAAAAGTTCTATCCAAAACATACGTGCAGAAACACAAAAAGACATTCAGCTATATTTATACAGATACGGGTATATGATTTGCTGATTTTATGGCTTTTGCCAGAAATGTGATTAAAATGTCTACAACATCGCTATAGCGTCTTTATTTCTCTTCCTTTGTAATGAAACCGGATGAGCTGGTTGATATCTGGTGGCTTTAGAATTCCAGAGCAACTACAGCCTCAGCCATACTCAACATGAATGTTTTTTGGCCATTTAGCAACAAGTGATAGTCGCCTATTGACATGCACTTGCCACAATGAGTTCATGGAGTTGACATACCGAAAAAATCTTTCCTTGCAGAAGAAATGATGAAATCTGCCAAATAAACTCCCGAAATCTGATGCCCTCCATTCAGAAGCTTCCAATACGAATGAGCAGATATTGCATAAGGGCGATTTCTACAAGGTGGTCAAATTTTCGATAATTACCTGATGAACTGCTTACGACGCTCACAACCATCACGACCAACGCTCCGGCTTGCACTTCGAGCAAACTCACGATTATCAACTCTTTGGAAAACTTCCGATAACAACATCTGCAGCATGAATGAGATTGTAAATGTTGGTTTCGGTGGTTAGCATACAACAGAGGTGAAGCTTTTTTGAGAATAATTTAAGTGGGAATTCACTCAATACTTAGACGATTGAGTCGACCCCGCGTTTTCAGTCTACATGAAAGCAGAGTCTTTAATAAATAACCCAATTGATTGCGACATGCGTATGCTATAATTCTGGCTGGAACATGTGTTTTTGCGCTCTCTGCTGACCTTTTCGCTAAGTGATCAAGGATCTATAGAGTAAGAGCACCGTCAAGGAGTATTCTAGAAATTAACAATAAGCACATCGTTTAAGGCTATAATATATCGTAATAAAATAAAAGACATTGGGAAAATGATCATACAAGCAAAAATGGAATGTAAAGTGCGAGCATAATAGAGAGTATATGTAAGCTACGAAGAGATAATGGTGGTCGGCCAAAAGATAAGATTCACACATACACACATTCTCAGTAAGTTTTCACGTCTCGTTCCAAAAGTTTTCGGGGTGTTCCCATGTTCGCATGGCCAAAAGCTGCTCTATATTACATGAATACAGTTAGCACTGGTGCGAATTCGAATATGCTGTTAACTATAAGTTGGAACATGCAAAGATTTGAGAAGAATGGTCCAAGTTAGGTCCAAAAGTTACTCTTCTAGTTCACTTGCATTCGCTTTCCCAGTAGCGTGCCGAGAACTTCTGTGTTAAAGAGGATGCCACCGAAATCACAGCTAGTCATCTAAACTTCATGAGTTCCCCTTTCTTTGACCTTGATGATTGAAGAAAACTGCTCAGCTTTGTTTTCAGCGATAAGAGTCTCGTTCATAGAAAAAGCTGGACACCCGGATGCGTTTTAAAATTTCGGAAACGAACATGACAAGCGACATAAAGACCAAAGTTGTTCTCATATGTAGGTACAAGCACGGCTCTTGAACCGCATGTGAGAAGATGGGCCTGCTCGTCGTGAAAAAATGGGAGCGAGCATTACGAGTAATTGAGGAGCCCTGGACAAGTAAACGAGCTTCAGCGACGAGGTATATGTTGTTCAGTGGATGGAGAAGCTGCTGACAATGAATAAGGCAGCAGTTATTTACGAGCTCGCTTCTCGCCTGAACAAGCTCTGAATTTATAGCCAATTTGGAGCAAAAGGTCATTTGATTAAAGCTACATGTGAAGAAAAAAATCTATGGCAAAAATAATCAAAAATCAGATGATTGGCTGGCTGACTTAAAAACGCAGTCTAAGCCATTCAGCAAATCAATATTTCTGTAAAAATAGCGCGGTGAATATACAGACGTTTGCAAGTTTCCAGATCGCGTGGTGACTGCGACCTGGCAAAATCGCTCAAAATACGACCGATAGATACATAATTTGATCCAAATCGAAAAATTCGATCATTCGATGAAAACAATGGGATACATTGGGTTATCCAGCAAGTTTCCTCCGTTTTCAGTTTTCATCCCAATAACTCCTATTTTTCTTTACTCCTAAAAACTGCAGGACACGTTTCGGAAAGCAAAGTATACAAAACTGTATCCAAGCCTACCAATTAATCTCGACATCATCTAAGTATGTATATATATTAGGTTGTCCCGAAAGTTTTGTCGGTTTTTTTCATCGCTCAGCAAAACTCACAGAACACCAGTCCATAAACGTTCTAGGTACCATTTGATTCAGATTTTCATTCTCTTTCTTACAGCTATATTTGCTCTCTGACCTACCCTGTCTTTGCAATGTTATCGCCATGGCTTTTTGAGCAGCTCAACAGTAACGCCAAACCTTTCCTGAATTTTAAAAAATTTCTATCCTAATACTTCTAAGGAGCGCTGGTAATTGTTATACAGAGCAAAGCTTTGGCTACATTGTACCAATTTTAGATTACGTGGGTCACGTTTACCAAGTTCGTTATAATTATTTATTTAATAAGAACCGCGGCTTTTTGATTACGTTTGCCACGTAAAAGTACCGAAAATTCCAAAAAGGTGCTTTTTCAAAGCAAGCCAAACTGGGTAATGTTGCATAAATAGTGTTCAACAAGAATCATGTTGCAATTCGCAGAAACTTCAGAAGTTTTCATGTTTTTGCTACAGTCACGTGTTTCATGACTTTGCCAAAAAACTGTGACCTCCGAAGAAATAATTTTTTGAAGCAGTACTCTGCGTTGATACCACTGCTT